AGAGGCATAGTCTCACTTTGTCACCCTTGGTAAAGTGTGATGGCATCACAGCTCATAGCAACCTCCAGCACTTGGGCTTAGGCTATTCTCTTGCTTCAGTGCCTCCCGAGTAGCTAGGACTACAGGCGCCCGCCACAATGCCTGGCTATTTTTTTGTTGTAGTTTGGCAGGGGTTGGGTTCAAACCCACCACCCTTGGTATATGGGGCCGGCACCCTACTCACTGAATCACAGGCACCATCCTCTTTGCTGGATTTCTTTACACTTATTTTGCAGTTTGGCACTGTTTTGCGTTTTAATTCTCCTAGTGGTAGAGGGTAATGCAGGTCTCACATTCTGAACCCTGCTGTAGCGGTGAGGGTATGGCAATCTTTAAGGCCTTCAGGATGGTGGTCAGTAAAGGGAGTGTGTGTTGGGGCAGATGGAAACAATGACAGGTCCTGGTCTAGTGGCAGTCCACTTCCAGTGGACAGTATCCTCAGGCCAGCCCCAGAGCCTACTGGTGGGAACATCCACTCAGAGGCAGTTTTGTGGTCCCCTAAGTGGGGGCCACCAGGAGTCTCACCCCAGCTCCTGGTGGTGCCCTCTGCCCCATGCCTGGGTTGTACTCCTGTGGCTTATGCCCCCTCCATCAGTCCAGCTGCCCCCTCAATTCCAACCCTTAGGGTAGAAGCCCAGCCATTCTGAGGGGACCACTCTGTTAAGGGGCTGTGGGACTCAGCACTGTGCCTTCTAACTAACAGTAGCATTTATTGAACACCTACTGAGGACAGGAACATTTAATATTAAACAGGATCATAACTTTTTTTTTTTTTAAGACCTAGTCTCACTCTAGGTCTCACTTGTTGCCCAAGCTATAGTGCCATGGGATCAGCCTAGCTCACTGCAACCTCAAACTCCTCAGCCCAAGTGATCCTCCTGCCTCAGCCTCCCAAGTACCTAGGACTACATGCACTTGCCACAACACCCAGCTAGTTTTTTGGGGTTTTTTTTCGAGACAGAGCCTCAAGCTGTTACCCTGGGTAGAGAGTACTGTGGCATCACAGCTCACAGCAACCTCCAACTCCTGGGCTCAAGCGAGTCTCCTGCCTCAGCCTCCCAAGTAACTGGGACCACAGGCATCTGTCACAATACCTGGCTATTTTTAACTGGCAATGACGGTTGCAGCCATCATTGTTGTTTGGCGGCCGGGTCTGGATTCGAACCCACCACCTTAGGTGTATGTGGCTGGCACCTTAGCCACTTGAACCACAGGCGCCAAGCCTATTTAATTAATTATTATTATTATTTTTGCAGGTTTTGGCCGGGGCTGGGTTTGAACCCACCACCTCCAGCATATGGGGCTGGCGCTTCACTCCTTTGAGCCATGGGCACCCCCCGACTTTTTTTTTTTTTTTTGAGACAGAGTCTCAAGCTGTCGCCCTGGGTAGAGTACTGTGGCATCACAGCTTACAGCAACCTCGAACTCTTGTGCTTATGTGATTCTCTTGCCTCAGCCTCCCAAGTAGCTGGGACTACAGGCACTTGTCACAAAGCCCAGCTATTTTTTGGTTGTAGTTGATTGTTGTTTGGTAGGCCCGGGCTGGATTTGAACCTGCCAGCTCCAGTGTATGTGGCTGGCGCCCTAGCCGCTTGAGCTACAGGCACTGAGCCCAGAGGATTGAGTCCAGAAGTTCAAGGGTGGCAGAGGGAGTTCCCTATCTAAAAAAAAAAAAACAAAAGACCAGGTGTGGTGGTGGTTCATGCCTGTAATCCTAGCACTCTCAGAGGCTGAAGTGGGTGGACCTCCTGAGCTCAGGATTTCAAGACCAGCCTGAACAAAGACCATCTCTACTAAAAACAAAAAAACTAGTTCTGTGTTGTGGCAGGCACCTGTAGTTCCAGCTACCTGGGAGGCTGAGGCAAGAGGATCTCTTGAGCCCAGGAATTTGAAGTTGCTGTGAGCTGTGCTGCCAGGGCACTCTACGCTAGGGTAACTGAGATTCCATCTCAAAAAAAAAAAAAAAGGCCAGGCCAGGCATAGTGACTCATGCTTGAAATCCTAGCACTCTGAGAGACCAGAGGCAGGGGGGAGGCTTGAGCTCAGGAGTTTGAAAACAGGCTGGGTGAGGTGGCTCACACCCGTAATAGCAGCACTCTGGAGGGCCGAGGTGGGTGGATAGCCTGAGCTCACAGAGCGAGACCCCATCTCTAAAAAATAGCTGGGCATTGCAGTGGGCATCTATAGTCCCAGTCACTTGGGAGGCTGAGGCAAGAGGATAGCTTGAACTCAAGAGTTTGAGATTGCTGTGAGGTATGATGCCATGGTACTCTACCGGGGGCAAAAAAGTGAGACTCCAGACTCAGTACCTTTAGCTCAGCAGCTAGGGTGCCAGCCACATACACCAAAACTGGCGGGTTCAAACCCAAACTGGGCCTGCCAAACAATGACAACTACAACCAAAAAATAGCCAGACATTGTGGCAAGTGCCTGTAGTCCCAGCTACTGGGGAAGCTAAAGCAAGAGAATCACTTAAGCCCAAGAGTTTGAGGTTGCTGTGGGCTGTGACACCACAGCACTCTACTGAGGGTGACACAATGAAACTATGTCTCAAAAAAAAAAAGTTTGAAACCAGCCTGAGCAAGAGTGAGACCCTATCTCTACTAAAAAAAAAAAAAAAAGAAAAAGGAAAAACTACTTGGGGTGTGTGTGGGTGTGTGTGTGTGTGCAGTGGCTCATGCCTGTAAGTAATCCTAGCACTTGGGAGGCCAAGGCAGGTGGATTGCCTGAGCTCACAGGTTTGAGACCAGCCTGAGCAAGAGCAAGACCCCTGTCTCTGAAAAATAGCAGGGTGTTGTAGCAGGAGCCTTTAGTCCCAGCTACGTGGAAGGCTGAGGCAAGAGAATCGCTTAAGCCCAAGAGTTTGAGATTGCTGTGAGTTGTGACGTCATAGCACTCTACTGAGGGTGACAAAGTAAGACTGTCTCAAAACAAACAAACAAAAACTACCTAAGCATTGTTGCAGGGGCCTGCAGTCCCAGCAACTCAGAAAATTGAGGCAAGAGAATTTCTGACACCCAATATGAGGCCACAGCACTCTATCAAGGGTGACAAGAGTGAGACTATCTTGAAAAACAAAGTCGGCTCGGCGCCTGTGGCTCAAGTGGCTAAGGTGCCAGCCACATACACCTAAGGTGGCAGGTTCGAATCCAGCCCGGACTGCCAAACAACAATGATGGCTGCAACCAAAAAATAGCCAGGTGTTGTAGCAGGCGCCTGTGGTCCCAGCTACTTGGGAGGCTAAGGCAGGAGACTCGCTTGAGCCCAGGAGTTGGAGGTTACTGTGAGCTGTGAAGCCACGGCACTCTACCCAGGGGGATAGCTTGAGGCTCTGTCTCAAAAAAAAAAAAAAGAAAAACAAAGTCAGAGAGGTTTGAGATATATCCTCGGGCACTGAGGGTGGGGAGTCCTTACAGATCACCCAGCTTGGGAGAAGGAAGAAAGGCTATCATTTTCCTCCATAGCCCCTCTCAGAGCCCCTGGGGTTCCACCTTTTCACTCATGATAGGTAGGAAAATAGGAGCGCAAAGAACTGTGTCTAGACCAATTGAAAGTTGAAAGGCCCAGATTCTCACTAGGGTTAGGCAGTCTATTAGGTAGGACCTACCTAGCTCTGTTAAAGCTTGTTAGTCTCTTAGTAAGAAATAAATCAGGCTCGGTGCCTGTGGCTCAAGTGGCTAAGGCGCCAGCCACATACACCTAAGGTGGCGGGTTGGAATCCAGCCCAGGCCCGCCAAACAACAATGACGGCTGCAACCAAAAAAAAAAAAAAATAGCCAGGTGTGTGGTGGGTGCCTGTGGTCCCAGCTACTTGGAAGGAGGAGGCAGGAGACTTGCTTGAGTCCAGGAGTTGAAGGTTGCTGTGAGCTGTGATGCCATAGCACCCTACCCAGGGTGACAGCTTGAGGCTCAAAAAAAAGAAAGAAATTAGGGCAATTGGAGGATGCCCTGGTCTAGGCAACTACTCTACAGGAGAGACTACTGTGGAACCAGGCTGCTGGAATTAATGACAGCCACTTTCACTTTGGGGGGTATAGGGGAAGGAAAAAGAGCAAGAGAGGTTCTTTTGGACTTCCAAAACATGGCTTCGAGAATTGCCCCTCAGGATGCAATCTTTGGACTAAATCTGATCCTCTTGTCAAAATGGCATAAAATTTATTTACAAATCTCTAAGTTAGGACTTCACAAAACAAAAACATTCTTTAGAGAAGTTGCAGGCAGTAGACTTTCCTTGAACTTGTTGGAAGCAAGACAGCCCTATATCATCATAAACTAGGAATATGGACCCTGTGTTTTTTTTGCTTCTTGAAGGAACTGAAAAATGTATAAAACAATCTTGGGTGCCACACCCTTCAATGCTGAAACCACACTGGGAGGAAGGAGGGGCCCACTGAAGCAATTCTCCTGTACAAGAAATACTATAAGAAACCCTAGCTGGCGCTCGGCGCCTGTGGCTCAAATGGCTAAGGCGCCAGCCACATACACCTGAGCTGGCCGGTTTGAATCCACCCTGGGCCCGCCAAACAATGACAGCTGCAACCAATAAATAACCAGGTGTTGTGGTGGGTGTCTGTAATCCCAGCTACTTGGGAGGTGGAGGCAGGAGACTCATTTGAGCCCAGGAGTTGGAGGCTGCTGTGAGCTGTGACGCCACAGCACTTTACCCAGGGCAACAGCTTGAGGCTCTGTCTCAAAAAGAAAGAAAGAAAAAGAAACCCTAGCTGGTAGGACAAAGCCAATGTCTTATGCCTGGCCAAGAACCTGATTCAGAGGCCCTGCCTCAGCTGAGACTGGAGACAAGTCCTCAGTCTTGATTTCATTTGCCAAGTAGGTCACTGAGGTGGTAAGTTAACTTATAGTCTTCTTTGGCTTGATTTTTCTCCCTGCTCTGTGCTTTGACATCTCAGAACGGTTCCAGGAGCTGCATGTGGGGATGTAGTGGCAAAGTGGCTACAGTGTGATGCAGTTTTAATAAAAATTTTATTACACAGCCATAATGTAATTGACACTTCTCCAAATCCAAATGATACTAAATACAGATCTACATGGTGGATCAGAATGACTCCAGCAAATTATCTGGATTCTATGATTTTATGTCATTTAAAACCATAAAGAAAAAAGTCCAAGTTCATCATGATAGGAGAGGTCCCAGTGGCTCCAGGACTCTGCTGGAGTCCAGGCAATGTTTAACAGTCTGTGATTCCACATTTACACAATAGTCTATAAAGAGTTCTGGTCAATGGACTATTCAAGTATATATGATTTTAATGAGTCCATCACCACTCCTTTGCCCAACTGAACTGTGTCACAGCTACCACATAGCTGTGTTACAGTCATATTTATCAATTTTACACAGTCACAATACTTTAAAACCATCCTTTGCTGCTTTTTAAAAAATAAAAAAATGTAAACTAAGTTAAAGCAACAGTGAGGCTCTACTAAACTCAGAAGAGTTACCAAGTTCATTTTTATGTTTAAATACGACATAACTCCATGATTTCCCATCATCCCCCTTCCTTATACAAAAGTAGGGCGAAGAAGTACAAAGCAGAACTTTCAGATTCCTCTCCCTCTTGTGGAAATAGGCAGCTCTCAGCTGTTCCTTTAGCTTAGTTCTTGGTATATATAGTCAGCTGTACTTTGTTCTGAAAAGATTTGTTAAATGCCACTCTTATTTACACTTGGAGCTTTACACCTGAGAATGATTATCAAGCAGTCAGCTTATCGCTTTCAAACATTTCATAAAGACACACACACCCCTTTGCTGGCTCCACCCCCACTGCACAACAATATATATGCTTGCCATATATATATGTACACACACACACACACACAAACTGCACATGCTCGTAACACTTGCAACCTATATCTTTTTGTGTTTACTCTCCACATTCATGTTGAATAATTTCTCTTAAAAAACAAAATGTTATTCTCGCCACAACAGCAAAACAGAATCACTAGGAAGAGACAGGTATACTGAGTGAGAAAAAGACATATCTATGTCTGGCCAAGAAGCTGTGGGCTGTACATGGGGTGAGTAAGACACCTTCACTGCCCTCCCTGGTACCTGGCCCTGGGCTTCCCTCCCACCTTCCAGGACACAGCCTGCAGGGCAGGGGGCTAAACTGGGGGATTTTCTCCAAGGTGGGAGGTGATGGGGAAGAGGAGGGAGGGGAGGGGAAGTTACACAGCTACAGCAGTCAGGCCTGTTTAGTAAGAAGAATCACATTTAATGAGTTTCTTTCTTGCAGTTTCAGATGCTCAAGTACAGCTGAAAAAAATCTGAAACAGCTATAGACCCATGACAGACTGATACAAAGAGTACTGCATTTTTAAAAAATGATAAAAAAATCCACACACATACACATACATACACTCTCTCTCTCTCAAATTAGACCCCCCCACCCTCCCCACAAATGTACACTTTTGGAAACTAAACTGGTTTTTGAAAGCCCCTCTTCCACAGAGATGGGAAGAAGAGAAAGATGAGGAGAGAGGAAGGAGGACTGCAGGTGCCCAATCCCCGCTCCCTCCACAGGGTCAGGTGCCAATGTTCAATGGATGGGTCCAAGGCAGTCTGCAAGAGGAGACTGCCCAGTGCTGCTGCGATTGCCACCAGGGGCTCCAGCAAGAATCCCAGCTCCATGGTAATACTGAATGCGTGCAGAGTGGCCAATGAACTGTGCTGGTTAAAAAGAAAACAAATAAACAAAAAACAAAACAAAACAAAAAATAAAAAGCAAACACAAATCTAAAGACATGGATAATGCCCACGAGCCCAGATCCATACTGGCTAGGGCCCACAGGGCTGGTAGGAGATGGTGTGTAGACAAGGGAGGTCTATACAGCAAATGGTTTATATTACAGATAACTGGCAGTTTGCAGTCTCTTCCCAGTTCTACTGCTGCTCCAGCCCGAAAAGGGCAAATCAAAGGAAAAGAGGAAAGGTGGGACACTGTGATGGGGCATGCAGGGTCAGAAGCAGCAGGCTGGGTGCACTCAAATAAGCCCTCGTCGTTTCTTGTAGTCTTCCAAGTTCAGAGATCTCCTTGGAGCCCCATCCTTGGCTGGCGGAGCCTTGGAGGTGATGGCTAAAGCCTTGGATTCTGTGAGAAAGAAGAGAAAATTGGCACCTGATATACCTACAGAGTTCTTTCAGTCTTGTGCCTCATCTTTTTTTTTTTTTTGAGACAGAGCCTCAAGCTGTCCTCCTGGGTAAAGTGCTGTGGCATCACTCCAACTCCTGGGCTCAAGCGAGTCTCCTGCCTCAGTCTCCCAAGTAGCTGGGACCACAGGCGTCCGCCACAATGTCTGGTGATTTTTTGGTTGCAGCTGTCATTGTTGTTTGGCGGGCCTGGGCTGGATTCGAACCTGCCACCTTAGGTGTATGTGGCTGGCACCTTAGCCACTTGAGCCACAGGCACTGAGCTGCCTCATCCTTTAGTATGCCTCTATACATACTGATGAGTAGACACCCTCATTTCTTCCCTAAAATCAGGCCTCCTTGCTGCCCAAGAGCCAAGGATCCATCTTGTCCCCTCAACTTCACTTACCTGAGCTGGGAACTTGTAAATCAATCTTCACATCGAAATCATGTACTTTGAACAGATCTTCTGAGAGGTCACTGGCTGACTTAGAATTCAAATCTTTATCTTTGCCCTGACCCTGCAATGTGAAAAGAAAAGCTAATTATAAGAGCATAAATGCAAGTGGATTTAAAGTAGCAGCAGCTACTAATGGTAAAAGCTCTTACTCAAGTTCATTAGATTTTCCTACTAAGGCCCTTTTCCGATTCCTTCTCTGAGGCGAGGCCACAGACAAAGAACATGCCCTTCTGAAGGCTAAAAGCAAAGAGAAGGTAGGCTCATATCTGTGGAATGAGGGTAGACAGGATGGACGTAAGATAAAAGGCCACCTTCTGACTTAAAATTTCAGGAATTCCTGAGACAGTTTAGGCTATATAGGAAATGTCCTAAGTTAGGCAGAAAATGGCTTCTAAATTTACCATTTTTGTCTTCAAAGAGCTTTCACTTTTACATCTAATCCTTATATGACAATGGCTCCTGCTCATTATCCTGTGAAGTAGGTCCAGGAATTTTGCATAGGAGAAAATATGGCAAACAGGGCTACAAGTCAGCTGCCTAAACAGTCAAGGCCCTAGGGAAGTAGTGCTGTTAGTTTTAGGATTTAGTTGTTCAACAAAAATTCAGTAGTGGCTGATTACATTTGTAGACAATAGGAAAGGATAGAGAACTGCAAGTGGACTCCATATTCCTCCGGGTAAATCAAGCCTCAACTGGGCAAGGAGCTTGCATGGCATCCCAGCCAGCAGTCCAGCCCCGCAGGCCACAGGGTGGTACTGCACTTGCCTTGCTCATTTCCTTTGGAGCATCTGGTAGTGCTCCAGAACCGTATTTCGCATTCAGCTGGGCCAAGATGGCAGCTTGAACAGCTGGGTCTCTGGACTGAGAGAAAAAATAAGTTATTTTAGAGATTATTCAACACTCACAGTCCTACTGCCAGATTTCTTCCCACCTACCATACTAACATCACAGGCACCATAGCAAACCCAATAGCAGCTCAGTGGGGTTTCCCTCAAGATAACAAAAAAAGGGCAATTAAAAGCTTTAAAGCCAAGCCCAGGGCAGTACCTGTGGCTCAGTGGGTAGGGCGCTAGCCCCATATACCAAGGGTGGCGGGTCTGAACCTGGCCCCAGCCAAACTGCAACAAAAAAATAGCTAGGTGTTGTGGTGGGCGCCTGTAGTCCCAGCTACTCGGGAGGATGAGGCAACAGAATCGCCTAAGCCCAAAGAGTTGGTTGCTGTGAGCTGTGTGACATCATGGCACTCTACTGAGGGCGATAAAGTAAGACTCTGTCTCTACAAAAAAGAAAAAGAAAAAAAAAAAAAAAAGCCAAGCCCAGTCAGGCCCTAGCTAATGGACACAGTATCTACTGTACTGTAAGCCCACCCTGGTGTGTGTGTGTGTGTGGGTAGTCTCCTAGGCTTTTATGAATTCATGCCAGGTCTTCACTACTTATATATGCCCTATAGTGAGATAAAAAAGGAAGTATCCAGACCCAAGAGCTTCAGACAAGCAAATCCCAGCTAAGAAAACATTATTTTTAACTTCTTTATTAATTTCCTAATGGAATTCATTTTATGTCCTAGAATCTAGGTCCTGACTAAAAACGTCCTCTTTAGGCACTCACATTAGAAACGATGGTAGGTTTGCACTGCCGCCGAGTAAAGGGATCCATTTGTTGGTTTTTCATGTTGTGACTTTCAGCCTGAAACAGACAGCATGCACTGCAGGACTGCATCTCCATTCCCCCTCCTCTCATTCATCATAAGCTCACATGTAAATAAGAGTCTTTATAAGAGACTGAAAGAAATAAAAAGCTATTATCCTTTTCCCTTTAAGAACACCAGAGTAGTTACGGCAGCAACAACCAAAAAGCAGAAAATGATAAAAATGAGCAGCTGTGGAGTAGAATCTAAGGGTGGGGAGGGTAAGACAGGGCAGAAGACTTCTGCTTTTTATTATAAATTAGTAAATTATATGTGTGTACGGGGGCATACAGAAAGACCATGTATATGCTACATGTACATGTTATTTCACTAATTTAAAAATACACTTGAGCAAGAGGTAGAAAAGATTTCATATCATCTTATAATTTTTTTTTAGTAATTCAGATAAAGTTGTCTTACTTACCACCAGCGCCTTCTCAGACTCCACAATGTTCCACTCTCGGTTCCGCTGGTTGATGTAACTGTGAGGTGAGAAGAGGGAGGGAGTCATCGAGCCCTGACCCCAGAGCTCTGTGTATCAACACAGCAGCATGTACAGGCCACACACTTGCCAAATAATTTTGGCTAAGGTCTGTGGGTCAAGACTAGGGAACCAATTGAATCGTGCTTAGTAACACACCTGATAGCAGATATGTTCTTGGTCCGCTGGCGGTCCAGGGCCTCTGCCCGCTCCTCCAGCTCATTCAGCTGGTCCTGGATTTGTTTGGCCTTGTCCTGATCCCCCAGGTCCTCAGCCATGGCCTGTCAGCAGGGAGATGTGTGAGTTTACTTCCAGCACAGGCAAGAAATCTCATGTAATGAACAAGCGAGGGAGATGTGAAAGAATACGGAAGAAGTACTTTACGAATACAAACTATAATTTTTGTTGCAGAAGTATACAGTAACACCTTCCCATATAGCTACCTGGCTCTGGGCCCCTGCTGGCAGTCATATATAACATTTACCTTAGAACCCAGGATCCATATGGTCAAGCCACCATAATAAGGCTCATGCCATTCTGGTATAAAGAATGCAAAACCACCAGCAGCAGCTGGGCTGGACAATGTACAGACTCAGTACTGAATTATATCTCAAGGTCTATTTTGTTACACACAAAACTAAAGTGACTGGAAACAAAGGAGAATGCAACAAATAAGATCGGTTTTAATCTACAGAAAGGAAAATGGCCAAGGAATGCTGCCTGGGTGCCAAGAACACACTGTGTTGGTTATAATCAAGCCCACATTTTTTTCTCCCTACCACTAACTTGGCAGGGGATGAACACATTTGATTTCTACATCTTCTCACAGGATGGGGAAGGAGTCACGAATGGAAGTCCTTACCTTTTCCTTTAGCAGCTGAGTCTTCTTCATAGCATAGTTGGGTGGAGCTTTTCTGAACCTTTCTTTCTCTTTTACAATCTGTACCAGAGAGGAGATACCAGCAATGAGGTATTCCTAAACAATTTTTGTAGACAGGCTAAATAAGCCCATTTTGGACGAAAGCAGCTAGTTAAAAGGGGGCTGCTCTTCCTATAGCAGTGTCATGTCTCAGAGAGAGAGAGAGAAAGCGAGTTCATTCCAAGGGATACTATGCTGCTTCCAGGGTCACGGAGATTCTTCTGGGACAGTCTGAAGGAACATGCACCAATAAACAGCAGCAGCCCAAGGGCCTGGTACTGTAAGGCTACCCACTGTCCAAGAGAACAGAGATCAAAGAATTTTACCAAAATGTTTTGGAGTAAGAAAACTCTTGAAGGACCAATCCTAGCAGATTACAGATCCCTGAGTACACTTCAGTCTATGTAGCCTCATCTGAACCATGAATGCATTTTTAACCTATGTAGTCCCATCTGTAGATGAGAATGTACAGAGAAAAACTTGATGGACTCTACATAGTAAGATACCACTATTCATATTCCGTTATCTCCATGCATAATTAAAAATGTCAAGATACAGGGAAAGAAAAGAAAATTACAATCTTCTCTAAACACTGGTTCTTGATGAACATCCAGGCTGTGGAGTATTAGGTTTCTTACCTCTTCAATGTCCTGATCATTGAATTTATAATTAAGAGCTTCTTTAATAGATAATTCCTTTTTATTGATTTCATCTAGGGTAGGCAACTGCATGCCAGCAGAGAACATCTGGACCAAAACGTGATAAAAGGTTATTAGTAAAAGATTTTGGAAAGAGACACTCTCAGTGTTCATTAACAACTGCTAAGTAGTCTCTAGCCACTTACCGCTTCTTTCCATTTCATAAATTCACTTTCAGTGAATTCCTGGTTTGAGACAAACTCTAGGCGGAACACGCGCTGGTCATTGCCATGCCTAAGTGAGAGAGAGGTAGTGCCTCTGAGAATGTGCGTGACTGCAGTACCAGCAGAGCAGCCCACCAGATGGTACTTACTTGCCTATCCATAACTATCCCTCAATACTTGCTACCCTTTAGAGTCACCAAGGAAGATTTATAAAATTTCCAATGCTGAAGTGCAACTGTAGATCAACTAAATCAGAAGCTCAGGGAGCAAGAACCAGGCATGAAAGTTAAAAAACAAAACAAAAACAAAAATAGGACAGGCATAGTGGTTCACGCCTGTAATCCTCGCACCCTAGAAAGCCAAGGTAGGTAGACTGCTTCAGCTCAGGAGTTTGAGAACAGCCTGAGAAAAAGTGAGACCCTGTCTCTAATAAAAATAGAACAACTGGCTCAGTGCCAGTAGCACAGTGGTTACGGCATCAGCCACATACACTGAGGGTGGCGGGTTTGAACCCGGCCCGGGGCAGCTAAACAACTGCAACCAAAAAATAGCTGGGAGTTGTGGCAGGTGCCTGTAGCCCCAGCTACTTGGGAGGCTGAGGCAAGAGAATCGCTTAAGCCCAAGAGTTTGAGATTGCTGTGAGCTGTGATGCAACAGTACTCTACTGAGGGTGATAAAGTGAGACTCTGTCTCAAAAAAAAAAAAAGAAAAATTAAAACTCACAAAGCTAGTACCAGAAACCAAATGGACTTGCTTAGTGCTACAAAAGTCTATTTACAGTAAAATCCTTTACAGTCAATCAGCATCAAGAGCCTGTAGCAGTGGGGTGTACTACAGTTCCAGCTGCTCAGGAAATTAATGGAGGAAGATCCCCTGAGCCAGGTGTATGGGGCTGCAGGGAGCTATAATTGTGCCTAGCCACACAACAAGACCCTGTCTCTAAACTAAATAAAAAAAAATGTAGTTATCTCAATGACAAGCAAACTGTATTCTCTAGAGAGGACAAAAATTGTCTTTCTATCGACCATTGTGTTGGCAAAGCTAACTGACTCAGTGCCATGCTACTAGGGACAATCCTTGTCAGGGCCACCCCCTATCCTTAGCTGGCCCTTTTTAAAAAAAAAGACCAAGGAAGATGATGGGATTAGAGAGAAGAATGGAGAGACCATGGAGAACACATTAGGCCATGAGAGAGCTGTGTCTATAGACTGCTATTTGACATGTGATCCTGGAAAACTACTTCTATTCTTTCCTATATGAGGTTCGTTAGAATTGTCAGGCTCCAAGAGAGCAAGGATTTGTGTGTGTCTAGTTTTTGTTTTTTTTAATAGAGACAGAGTCTCACTTTATTGCCCTCAGTAAAATGCCGTGGTGTCATGCAGCTTACAGCAACCTCCAACTCCTGGGCTTAGGCAATTCTCTTCCCTCAGCCTTCAGAGTAGCTGAGACTACAGACTATAGGCACCCACCACAACACCCGGCTATTTTTTTGTTGCAATTTGGCCAGGGCTGGGTTTGAACATCCCCTCCTCGGTATACAGGGCCAGCACCCTACCCACTGAACCACAGGTGCCACCCTGTGTGTCTGTTTTGTTCTCTCCTTTATATCCTGAAGCTTAGAACAATGCCTCGCACATAGTATATTCAGTAAATACTTGTTTTTGTTTTCTTTTTGAGGCAGAGTCTCAAGCTATTGCCCTGGGTAGAGTGCCATGGTGTCACAACTCACAGCGACCTCGAACTCTGAGGCTTAAGCGATTCTCTTGCCTCAGCCTCCCAAGTAGCTGGGACCACAGGCACCTGCCACAACACCTGGCCATTTTTTGTTTGTAGTTGTCAAACTACACCTGTTGATTGGCAGGTGTAGGCTGGATTTGAAACTACCAACTCTGGTGTATTTGGCTGGCGCCCTAGCCACTTGAGCTATAGGCACCGAGCCAAGTAAATATTTGTTAAGGGAATGAGACTTTCATTTTGCTGAAGAGGAACTAAGTTCTGAAGGGGTAATCTTGATTTGTCAAAGATGAGATGAAGTCAGGACCAGAAACAAGCCTCCTGACCACGCTCACTAAAGAAATGCCTGTTGGCTCTGGGATGAAAATCTCTCACAAACCAACATGTCTCTTCTATTTGTCCTACTCCTTCATATCCCTGGTTTCCCCATTGGAGACAATACCCTATTTTCCCTACAGAATATAAAGTAGGTCCTAGGCCAGGCGCAGTGGCTCATGCTTATAATCCTAGCACTCCAGGAAGCTGAGGTAGGTGGATTGCTTGAGCTCATGGGTTTGAGAGTAGCCTGAGCAAAGGTGAAATACTGTCTCTACTAAAAATAGAAAAACTGAGGCAAAAGGGTCACTTGAGCCCAAGAGTTAGAGGTTGCTGTGTGCTATGATGCCTCAGCACTCTACCAAGGGCGACAGCTTGAGATTCTGTCTCAAATAAATAAAAAAATAGGGCAGTGCCTGGGGCTCAAAGGAGTAGGGCACTGGCCCCATAGGCCGGAGGTGGTGGGTTCAAACCCAGCCCCGGCCAAAAACTGCAATAAATAAATAAATAAAGGCTGGGTGAGGTAGCTCACGCCTGTAATCCTAGCAGTCTGGGAGGCCTAGGCGGATGGATAGCTTGAGCTCACAGGTTTGAGATCAGCCTGAGCAAAAAAGTGAGACCCACATCTCTACTTAAAATAGAAAAAAATAAAATAAAAAATGAGGCAAGAGGATTGCTTAAGCCCAAGAGTTGCAGGCTGCTGTGAGCTATGATGCCATAGCACCCCACCCAGGGCAATACCTTGAGACTCTGTCTCAAAAATAAAAATAAAAATAAAAATATAAATATAAATACATACATACATACATAAAATAGGTTCTATATGGCTGAGCATGGTGGCTTATGCCTGTAATCCCAGGACTTGGCAGGCCGAGGCAGGTGGATTGCCTGAGCTCACAGGTTTGAGACCAGCCTGAGCCAGACTGAAGCCTCATCTCTAAAAATGGCTAGGCATTATGGCAGGCACCTGTGGTCCCAGCTACTTGGGAGGCTGAGGCAAGAGAATCGCTTAAGCCTAAGAGTTGGAGGTTGCTGTGAGCTGTGATGCTACAGCACTCCACCAAGGGTGAGAAAGTAAAACTCTGTTTCAAAAAAAAAAGGCTCAGCCCTCATAGCTCAGTGGTTAGAGCAAGGGCCACATATAATGGGTCTGGTGGGTTTGAACCCGGCCCCCGCCTGCTGAACAATAACAACCACAACAACAACAACAAAAAGCCAGCCATTGTGGCAGGTGCCTAAAGTCCTCGCTACTTCGGAGGCTTCAGGAGAATCGCTTAAGCCCGAGACTTTGAGGTTGCTGTAAGCTGTGACGCCACAGCACGCTACTAAGGGTGACATAATGTCTCAAAAAAAAAAAAAAAGGCTCAATAAAACAGAATATCAGAATATATATAAGGGCCAGTTATGGTGGCTCATGCCTATAATCCCAGCACTCTGGGAGGCTAAGGTGGGAAGATTGCTTGAACTCAGGAGTTCAAGACCAGCCTGAGCAACAGCAGGAACCCATCTCTACTAAAAATAGAAGAGTTAGCCGGGAATTATGATTATCGCAGGTGCCTGTAGTCCCAGCTACTTGGGAGGCTGAAGCAGGAAGATCGCTTGATCCCAGGAGTTGCTATGAGCTAGGCTGATGCCATGGTACTCTTAGCTGGGCAAAAGAGTGAGCCTTTGTATCAGAAAAGAAAGAAAAAAAAAAGAAAAGATGGGTGGCATCTGTGGCTCAAAGGAGTAGGGCACTGGCCCTATATGCTGGAGGTGGCAGGTTTTGCCAAAAACTGCAAAAGTAAAAAAAAGAAAGAAAGAAAAGGTAGAGTATAAGACTCTCTCCAAGTACCACATGAGGACAGCATAAATAGTTTTCACTGTAACGGGAAACATCACACTGACAGAGAATAACAATTCAAACAAGCATTGCCTGTCTGAAGCAGGAGCAGAAGCTGACACAGACGTGTCTCTTACCGTAGTTGTAGCCCTTTGTTTGTTCTGGTGCCACCTAGCTGGTAAACTTTGGCAGTTTCCACAACACCCGTAATCTCAGCCACCTAAGTGAAAAGACAGAGACAACAAAAACATTCTCTCGGGGGTTTCCAAATCACTCTCCTTTGCCTCCACCAACCTGAATATAGACGACTGATCCTGTGCAGAGCGAAGAACACAGAGGCCAGGTGTTCTAAGAACCTAGAAAGGCTTAGGATTCAGGCGGCCCAACCCAGAGAGCCTTGTGCTCACGGTAAGAAATTACCACAGGTAAAGGCAGGTAGCCTGGTGGTTCCATTAGAAGCTTTTCCTCCAACTAATTCTACCTTACTTGAGGATGTAGTTGGAATTTCAAAGGTTGATTTTTATTAACCAAATATGAAGATCATGGAGGTCAATTTCTGTTGCCATGCTTTTAAGGACACCTGTAGGTCCATGGCATGGCTATCGGTCCTTATACAAGGAGATGAACACACACGTCAAAACCAGATAAACTCTAGCCGGGTGTTGTGGTGGGTGCCTGTAGTCCCAGCTACTTGGGAGGCTGAAGCAAGAGAATCGCTTAAGCCCAAGAGTTAGAGGTTGCTGTGACCTGTGGTGCCATAGCACTCTACCCAGGGAGACAGAGTGAGACTCCGTCTCAAAACAAAAAAACCCAGACAAACTTGGCAGTGCCCATAGCTCAGTGGTTAAGGCACTGGCCACATATACTCAGGCCAGCAGGTTCGAACCCAGCCCAGCCCAGCTAAGCAACAACTGCAACAAAAAATAGCTGGGCGTTGTGGTGGGTGCCTGTAGTCCCAGCTACTTGGGAGGCTGAGGCAAGAGAATCACTTAAGCCCATGAGTTTGAGGTTGCTGTGGGCTATGATGCCATGGCAGTCTATCAAGGGTGACATAGTGAGACTCTGTCTCAAAAAAAAAAAAAAAAAATAGGGCAGTGCCTGTGGCTCAGAAGGGTAGGGCACCGGTCCCATAAGCTAGAGGTGGCAGGTTCAAACCCAGCCCCCGGCCAAAAACTACAAAAATAAAATAAAATAAATAAAGCCAACAACAACAAAGAAATAATCAAATGGCAAAGTGCCAGCCACCCAGACCAGAGAAGCAGTGCTAGAACCCACATAATAAGCTCTATTAGGGGCTTGGTGCCTATAGCTCATCAGCTAGGGCGCCAGGCACATACACCAGAGCTGGCGGGTTGGAATCCAGCCCGAGCCTGCCAAACAACGACAACTACAACCAAAAACCAGTCAGGCATTGTGGTGGGCGCTTATAGTCCCAGCTACTAGGGAGGCTGAGGAAGGAGGGTCACCTGACCAGGAGTTTGAGATTGCTGGGAGCTATGACAGCATGGCTCTCTAGCCTGAGGCAACAGAGTTAGACTCTGACACATATAGACACACAAAAGAGAGAGAAATATACATGAAGCTTTTTAAAACAATGATTTCTGCTTAAGCAGAGGGTATTAGAACACGCATTTCCTCACTTTATCTAACATAATTATATTCAATTTTGAACAAAAAGTGTTTTTGGGGGGAGTATCCAAAGTTACTTTCACTGGTAACAAATGAAACTGGTATATGGACCCGGCACCCTACTCTTTGAACCACAGGTGCCGCCCTGTTTCTTTCTTTCTTTCTTTTATTTTTTAAGAGACAGAATCTCACTTTATTACCCTCAGTAGAGTGCTGTGGCGTCACAGCTCACAGCAACCTCCAACTCCTAGCCTTAGGCAATTCTCTTGCCTCAGCCTCCTGAGTAGCTAGGACTACAGGCGCCCACCACACCGCCGGGTTATTTTTTGTTGCAATTTGGCCGGGGCCGGGTTTGAACTGCCACCCTTGGTATATGGGGTTGGTGCCCTACCCATTGAGCCACAGGTGCTGCCCATGCCTGGTTATTTTTAAAGATGGGGTCTTATTGGTCTCAAACTCATGAGCTCAGGTGATCCACCTGCTTCAGCCTCCCAGAGTGCTGGGATTATAGGCATGAGCCACTGCAATTGGCCAAGAAAACAAATACTAACCCGGTAAACTGGTTTGCTGTTGTGGTTTCCAATGCCAATCCGTACAAAACATCCTGTGACAGTTTTAGCAAAGAAGGGCATATGACACCACCGTTCTAGCTTATGCCGTGATAATCGAACCCGATTCAATTCTTCAGGTAAGGAAACTGGTTGTGATTTTGGAGGGAGCTCTTCTTTCCTATGAGGAAGAAAGAGGCAATGGAAAAATATTCATCATAAAAACAAAACAAAATAGAAAAATAATACCAAATTCTCAAAACTTAACTATTGTAAACCAGAGTACATGTGATTAACCTAGGAGGAGAAATAAATGAAACACTGGGAAAGAGCTGTATTAGAATCCTGTTCAAAACCAGTAGTGTGAACTACCTTGAATGAGGCTGCCACCTTAGATAATCTATCAGAGTAAGAAAACAAAGAAAGCTCAGGCCAATCTGAGAGAGACACAAAGTCAATTACTACCTGCCAGGCCCAGGTGAAATGTCCAGGAATGCGGGCTAGCAGCCAGAGGCAGAAGAAATGAATGGGCACATGTACTAGGGAACTCAGTTCAGCAAACCAAAGCTATTGGCCCAAACAGGGAGATTATGAAAACCATACAAAGCTTCCCCAGAAAGAACCACCACAAGGTACAAGAGCTTACTCTTCTTCCTCATCAGATGAAGATGTTCGAGATGAGCGGTCTGACTTTTCACTAGACTTGTCATCCTCTTCCTCCTCTTCATCGTCAGAGTAGACCTCACTGGTTTTTAATGGCTGTTTTTTGGTGAGGAGCTCAGCTAGAAAAGATAAATGTTTATCCAGGTTATTTCAACACAAAACTGAAACATCTTTCATCCTTTTTTTTGAGACAGTCTTACTATGTCACCCTCAGGAGTGGCATCACAGCTCACAGCAACCTCAAACTCTAGGGCTAAATGATTCTCTGCTCTCAGCCTCCTCAGTAGCTGGGACTACAGGTGCCCACCACAATATCCAGCCTTTGTTTTGTTGTAGTTGTCGTTGTTTGGCAGGTCTGGGCTGGATTTAAACCCGCCATCACCGATGCATGTGGCTGGCACCATAGCAGGGGAGCTCCAGGCATTGAGCCACATCTTTCATCGTTGAGAAAGAATTGGAAATGGAAGAGGACTCAAGTACACAGACAGTTCTATCTCATCTAGACTGTACGGTGATACCATGGGCTATATACAGAAATGAGGTAAATCAGAGAAGAATAATCATTCAGGCACCAAATACTAGTCTCCAACAGAAAAAAAAGGCTGGAAGATTGTTACTAACTAGGAAGAAAGAATCACCAACACTACTGAAGACACTTGAAGATGGCCAGGAAAGAAAGGGAAAACTCATAATGACTACAGAGTTTTGGAGGACAACTGTATTTTGAATTTGCAGTACCACTAGTTGAGGTGGGTCATTGCTGTAATTCTAGGAGTCTGAAAGGCTGAAGTGGGTGGTTTGCTTGAGCTCAGAAGTTCAAGACCAGTCTTAGCAAGAGGGAAACTCTGTTTCTAAAAGTAGTTGGGTCCTGTGGTAGGCACTTATAGTCCCAGTCACTTGGGAAGCTGAGGAAAGAGGATCATTTGAGCTGAGGAATTTCAGGTTGCTGTGAGCTATGATGCCATAGCACTCTAGCTTGGGCAACATAGACTCTGACTCAAAAAAAAAAAAAAAAAAAAAAAGAACTTGTAATACCATTTGTAATAGCAGAAGAGTGAAAACAACCCAAATAAGGAAGTGGGCGAATCACCCCTGGTACATTCACCCAATGCACTACTGTACACCTATTAAAAAAGGAATGAGGCCTCAGTGCTCATAGCTCAGTGGTTAGGGCGCTAGCCATAGGCACCAGGGCTGGTGGGTTCAAACCAGACCCAGGCCTGCTAAACAACAACAACAACAACAACAACAAAATAAACAAAAAAAAGCTGGGTGTTGTGACAGGTGCCTGTAGTCTCAGCTACTTGGGAGGCTGAGAAATGAGAATCACTGAAGCCCAAAAGTTTGAAGTTGCTATGAGATGTGATGCAACAGCACTCCACTGAGGGTGACAAAGTGAGATTCTGCCTCAAAAAAAAAAAAAGGGAATGAGACAACACAATATCCTGCAGCAGCAGCAAATGTTTTATAACGGGCAAGATAGTAAATATTGTAGGTATGTAATTCATATGGTCACTGTCTCAACTACTCAATTTTGCTGTTGTAGCTAGAAAGCAGACACAGAGGATACATAAACAACGGAGTGTTACTGTATTCTAAAGAAATTTCATTTATAGTAACAGTCTGTTGATGGCTACTGCATATAAAAACCAAGGAGGGAGTGCTGCCTGACCAACATAATAAGACCCTTTCTCCACAAAAATAAAAAAATTAACCAGCCACGGTGGTGCACATCTTTAGTTTCAGCTACTCAGGTAGCTGAGGCAGGAGGCTCACTTGATCACAGGAGTCCGAGGTTGTATGAACTATGATCATGCCCTTGTACTCCAGCCCAGTAAGTAAAGCAAGCCCCTGGCTCAAATACACCAAGAAATGGCTCAGTGCCTGTAGCTCAGCGGCTAAGACGCAGGTCACATACACTAGAGCTGGTGGGTTCAAACCTGGCCCAGGGCCTGCCAAACAACAATAACAACTACAACCAAAAAATAGCTGGGAGTTGTGGTGGATGCCTGTAAGTCCCAGCTACTTGGGAGGCTGAAGCAAGAGAATTATTTAAGCCCAAGAGTTTGAGGGTGCTGTGAGCTGTGACGTCACCGCACTCTACTGAGGGTGACATAATAAAACTGTCTCAAAAAAATTAAAAAAAGAAAAGGTTAAAATCTTTGAGTTCACAGGTATATCCGAAATAAATAAACTTCATTGGTCATCTCTGGATGTTAGTAAGGAACTCTCATTCTTTTGAATACTGGTAAATAAAAAAAAAATTGACCATTTATATTGTCTTTCCTATTCAAAATGTACTTGGGGGTAATTAACACATTGTTGACCAATGATGAATCAACTCATGTTTATACTTGCATTAACTATTACAATTTTTAAAACACAGGGTAATACAGATACTGTAAAAGCTTTCTTTCTTTCCTTTTTTTTTGAGACAGAGTCTTGTTTTGTTGCCCTCTGTAGAGTGCTCTGGTGTCATAGCTCACAGAAAGCTCAAACTGTTGGACTCAAGTGATTTTTCTTGTCGTAGCCTCCTAAGTGAGTGGGACTACAAGGCACCGCCATAACACCTGGTTATTTTTAGAGACAGGGTCTTGCTTTTGCTAAGGCTGGTCTTGAACTCATGAGCTTGAGCAATCCACTCTCCTCAGCCTCCCAAAGTACTGGGATTACAGGTGTGAGCCACTGTGCCTGGCCAATTTTATTTGTTTTGAGACAGATTCTCATTCAGTTGCCCTGGTGTTGAGTACTATGGTGTCAAGGTTGCTCACGGCAACCTTAAACTCTTGGGTTTAAGTGATCCTCTTGCTTCAGCCTCCCAAGTAGCTGAGACCACAGGTACCACCACTACAACATCCAGCTAGTCCAGCTAGTTTTTCTATCTTTAGTAGAGATGGGTGTCACTCTTGCTAATAGGCCAGTTTCAAACTGTTAAGCTTAAGCAATCCACCTACCTCAGCTTCCTAGAGTACTAGGATTAAAGGAGTCACTGCACTCAGCCAATTTTTTTTTTTCTTTTGAGACGGAGCCTCAAGCTATCCCCCTGGGTAGAGTGCCATGGCATCACAGCTCACAGCAACCTCCAACTCCTGGGCTCAAGCGAGTCTCCTGCCTCAGCCTTCCAAGTAGCTGGGACTACAGGAGCCCGCCACAACGCCCGGCCATTTTTTGGTTGCAGCTGTCATTGTTGTTTGGCGGCCCGGGCTGGGGATTCGAACCTGCCACCTTAGGTGTATGTGGCTGGCGCCTTAGCAGCTTGAGCCACAGGCGCCGAGCCGCTAATTTTTTTTATTTGGTTGCTTCTCAAACCAATTTATACTACCGCCAAATGGAACATTTTTACAAAAACTCTGCTAAAACTTTACCATGGACAGAAGTTACCACTAGTGATATAAGGAAGTTTCTCAGTTTATTGATATTGATGGGACAAATAAAAAAAAATCATATTGGAGAAATTATTTGTCAACAAGACCTTTGCTTAAAACACCACTATTTACTAAATCTATGACCAGAATGTTTGAGCAAATCTTTACATTTTTTTCATCTTAGTGATACTTCACAAGCTATACATAGTGAAGACAGACTATAAAATTAGGAATCTTTTGGATTATTTTATTCTAAAATTTTAGTCCTTGTATATACCTAAGCAGGCATTATCTCTAGATGAAAGCAATGGTATCATACAGAGGACTTATCAGCTTTGTTTCACTTTCATATTCAATTATGGAATAATAGCTGGTGACATATGGATAATTTCTGTGTAAACCTGCAAGTGAACAATGTGATATACAGCTGATAAAAAGTTCCTCTTGGGTAGCATCTGCAGCTCAGTGAGTAGGGTGCTGGCCCCATATACAGAGGGTGGTGAGTTCAAATCTGGCCTTGGCCAAACTTCAACAAAATAAAAATAGCTGGGTGTTGTAGTGGGCACCTGTAGTCCCAGCTACTCAGGAGGAGGCAAGAGGCAAGAGAATTGCCTAAGCCCGAGCTAGAGGTTGCTGTGAGCTGTGACATCACAGCACTCTACCAAGGGTGACAAAATGAGACCCTGTCTCTCTTTTTTTTTTTTTTTTTGAGACAGAGCCTCAAGCTGTGACCCTGGGTAGACTGCTATAGCATCACAACTCACAGCAACCTCTAACTCCTGGGCTCAAGCGATTCTCCTGCCTCCGCTTCCCTAGTAGCTGAGACTACAGGTGCCCACCACAATGCCCAGCTAGTTTTTGTCCAGGGCCCAGTTTGAACCTGCCACCTCCAGTATATGGGGCCAGCGCCCTACTCCTTTGAGCCACAGGCACCACCCCTGGCTATTTTTTGGTTGTAGCCATCGTTGTTTGGCAGGTCTAGGTTAGATTCGAACCCACTGGCTCAGATGTATGTGGTTGGCACCTTAGCCGCTTGAGCCACAGGCGCCAAGCTGCGACTCTGTCTTTTAAAATTAAAAAAAAAAAAAGTTTCTCTTTATAGAAGCAAACTAGATAATAAATGAAGAAATCTGACAGACTAGAATATCACTATTTTATAACTCATAATGAATTAAGTGATTTAGGTAAAGACCACCAATGACTACCAGGATAGAATGCGTTGCTCTGGGCAGTACCTGTGGTTCAGTGGGTAGGGCACCAGCCCATATACTGAGGGTTCGAACCCCACCCTGGCCAAACTGCAACAAAAACAAACAAACAAAAAATAGCTGGGTGTTGTGGCAGGCACCTGTAATCCCAGCTACTCAGGAGGCTGAGGCAAGAGAATTGCCTAAGCCCAGGAGATGGAAGCTGCTATGAGTGGCACTCTGTCTTTTACAAAAAAAGAAAAGAAAAAAAAGAACACAATGCTCTTTCTGATCCTTCATCCCTCTCTTTACCATGCTTTTTGCCATGTGACATGGTAGTTCCTCCTGGCCCCATGGTGACCTTGTACCAATTCCAAGACCAGACCTGAAGAAGCATTGTATGTTTTACTTGCCACTTTTACACTGCTGCTATCACCATGTTAAGAATGTGCCTGGGCTCAGTGCCTGTGGCTCAAGTGGCTAAGGCGCCAGCCACATACACCTAAGGTGGCAGGTTCGAATCCAGCTTGGGCCAGCCAAAACAACAAAGACGGCTGCAACCAAAAAATAGCCGGGCGTTGTGGCGGG